CCCAGCTCATTCAAAATTTTATTAAGTCTATTAGCCAGAACTTTACTGAACACTTTAAAAATAATATTGCATAAAGCTATTGGCCTCCAGTCCCCCATGCCTTCAGGTTTTTCTTTTTTAGCAATAAGGATTAAATTAGTTTTATTTACCTCACGGGGGACTTTATGTAACACCGTCCCCTAGTATATTTACTTTTAGTAAATCATGTAATAAACCTTGAATAATGACTCATGAATTTATGAGGTTGAAAATTCTTGTCATTACCTTTGCGTGAATAGTGAATTGCACGTGGGGATCCACACCGGGAGCGGGGGCCACCCAACGTTCCCGAAACCACATACTTTATTCATCTTGGTCAAGGTAATATTTATATGACGGTGGATATTTCATTTGGATCGTGGAAAGGCCCAGAGTTGACCGATTGGTCAAAAGAGGCCCAAATATCGGTATTGGTAATTTAACAGATAACAGCCCGAAAATGAATTTCGGAGACTTCCAAATTAAAGTTCTGGGATATATATTTTATTTCAAAGGGGCGTTATGATTGAGAGTGAGTAATATATTTTATTTGACCCGATAAAATAAAATATAATTAAAACAATCTGAAAAATACAACTTTCGGTGCCGATTGTACACGTCTGGACATAATGGGATGACCTCTCACATGGGTGGGGGGCCACCCCACGTTTTTTTGTGCTCCAATTAACCAAAGAGGGCTGGATAGACAAGGGAGGGAGCTGAAGAGATAGTATTGGCATCTAAAGTACATAGATGACCCCCCTCCCATCACTTGTTTGCCAATTAAGACAAACAATGAACATCCCCCTTTCCCCTCATCATTATTTCGGCCAAGCTACCCAAGAAAGAGGAAGAAAAAGATCTCCAACCTTTCTCCATTGCTGCAACTCGAGCTTAAGGCTAGGAAAAAGGCTAGGAAAAGTGTGTAAAATTAATGTAATGACCTTATTATAACTTTTCCTTTATTTTTCTTCTACCATATGAGGTCTGTATCATATGAAGGATCCTTAGTATGGTTCCACATGTTATAAGTATGGATTTATAGGTTGGAAGGTGGTTCTATGTCCAAGAACGGACTTAGGAGCCAAAATGACCGGTTCCCGCCGAAAAATAACCTTTTAGAGGTTATTTGTATTGATATGAGTTTTGTGATGATAAAACCTTGTTAGGAACTTGACTAAATGGGTTATAAAGTTCGCCGGAGTTCGCCGGAGTTCTCCGGAGTTTCGCCGGAGTTCCGTCGGAGTTCAATCGAGGAGCGTAGAACGCGCTTAAGCTCATTTGAGGTGAGTGGACGGCTTAATATCTTATAACTTTTGGGTTAATTATGAGATTACCTAAATAAATGTTATTTGTGTTCATAATGATGTTTAAAAGATATTTAAACATTTGATTAGCCAACATGGTTAAGTTGTACAAAAGGAATTAATTGTTTATGCATAAAATATGATATGAGAAATTATATTAAATGCATATTTGCTTGAAGTGTAAGAGAAGCACAAATGGATATTACTAACTTAATTATATGATGATTAAGTTGATACATACAAGGCTTGAAATGGCGGTCAACGAAAACGTTAACCGATGGATAATGGATTAATTAATACCGGTTAGTATAAGTTAATTACAAATTTATATAAATGCATGGCTTTGCATGAATTGAGATACATAAGCTTTATGGATTGATTTAGCTATAAATGAATAAATGTGATATAGACTCTATCTAGGTTGATAGGTGGTTGATCATAAAATTATATATTGGTGGAGGACCCTAGGACTTAAAGTCTAACACTCAAAGTATATAATGGTGGAGGACCCTAGGACTTAAAGTCCTTAACACTCAAATTATATATTGGTGGAGGACCCTAGGACTTAAAGTCCTTAACACTCAAATTATATATTGGTGGAGGACCCTAGGACTTAAAGTCCTTAACACTCAAATTACATATTGGTGGGGGACCCTAGGACTTATAGTCCTTAACACTCGGATTATATATTGGTGGAGGACCCTAGGACGAAAAGTCCTTAACACTCGGTTTATAAATTGGTGGAGCACCCAAGGATTATGATCCTCAAAACTCATAGGTTATGGTATATAAATATGGACAAGGAGGAGTCCTATACACTCATGGACATATGAGTGGGTTGGGGTTTTTAGTCAAGAATATTGACTATCACTTTTTTCCCAAATAAAACGGTGATCTACGAATCGGGTATTTTCCAAGTGTATATGTAATATTAAGTATTTCTTAACTTGGGGGAAAAAGACTATTTACATAAGTATCACCCTATGTTTGGGTCTTATACTTGAAACGCTAGTTATTCTAAATTTAGCCCGCTACTCGCTCGGTACACGGTACTTGTACTGACCCCTTCGGGGGACCCCACCATTTTCAGGTTGAAGCTAGGGCTTGCTACCTGCACCTTTCTACGGGTGATATCAAATTCAAGGAAGACGTGGTTCGTGCTTCCTCATATTCTTTCAAATTACTAAAACATTGCTCATGGATATTTTTATTTGTTCTAAACTATTTTTGGGCTTGCATGCCCATGTTATTGGCCGAATGTTGCCTACGAATTACCGCTGAATATTTCCGCTATTCAATGGTTTAATTGTGATGTTGTTGTGTATGTTTACTACTGAGTATGGATGAGTTGTTTTCTCAAACGCCTTGTATGATTAAGTGAGGTTGACCTGCGGGTGACGTCACTCGATTATACGGCGGTTGTACACGCGCTTAGATTGCGGTCTGGGGCGTGACACTTTACCAGTTTCCATAATATTCTGATAAAAGCGCACAACATCTTCGCCCCCAATCTCCCAATAATGCTGGAAAAAATCCGGGTTTAATCCGTCCGGTCTCGAGGTTTTATCAGGATGCATATCAAAAATAGCTCGTTTAACTTCCATGGCCATAATTGGATTCATTAAATCGTGGTTTTGCTGAGGCTTCACCTTGGCCAGATCCCCCATCATCCTCTCGTCCACACTAGTACCATGAGAGGTAAACAACCCTGTAAAATAGTCCTGCATTATACGCCCAAGTCTGGTACGATCCGTCTCCCATTCTCCACTTGAGAGTTTCAACCCTTTCATTTTATTTCTTCGGCGTCTCTGCTTTACTGCATTATGGAAGAACTTAGTATTCTTATCTCCTTCCTGTAACCAAAAGGTTTTTGCGCGCTGCTTCCAGAATATATTTTGCTTTTCAAAGAGATAAACAAGAGATTCCTTAACTCGGTTAAATTCAGCCGCATTCCATCTGTCTCCCTCTGCTCACAGGACAGCTAGCCGCTTTTTACAAACATCAATTCTGCTCTGAAAACCCACTTTCCTGCTCCTTCTCCATTGGTCAAGTTTCCAGCCACAACCATTTAATTGTTGCCAAATCTGCATCCCAGAAGAATTGTTCCATGCCCTCTGTATCACTTTACGGCGGTCGTTCTCGTGGAGCCACATATTTTCAAATTTAAAAACTTTCCTCCTTCTAGTACTACTCCCCTTTTTTGGATGAGTATAAAGCATCAGATGATCACTGGTAGGTCCCTCCAATGACATAGATTGATGCCCTCCAAATAGTGTCAGCCAATCCTCATTGGCTAAAATACGGTCCAACTTAGCCTCAATCCATCTTGGGGTTCCCCTACCCCGTTCCCAAGTCCACTGATAACCCTCGAAAGAGACATTAACCAGTCCACTGCTCCAAACTGCCTCCCGAAAACCCCTGAGAAGCCATGGTGAAGCCGGTACACTACTTTTGCGTTCACTGTCAAACATAACATCATTAAAATCACCCATCAACAACCAAGGTTCACTATTCTCTCTGGCCAAGTTTCGTAACAACTCCCACGACTGACGTCTCCGGCTACATTCCGGATAACCGTAGTAGCCGGTGTAACGCCATCTAGCTAGGCTCATCATCCCCCAGTTTAACTGAATAATCAATAAAATTATTCTCCATTTTCCCGATTTCCACCAAAACTTGTTCTCTCCAAAAAATACAGAGACCACCACTTAAACCCACACTGTCAACCGATGCACATTCATGGAATCCAAGCTTTTTCCGAAGTTCTTCACAATAGGCAGCATTTGATTTAGTTTCCATCAAAAATAATACTTTCGGTCTCTTTGTTTGAACCAGATCAGCCAACACCTGAACAGTAGCAAGGTTTCCCAATCCCCTACAATTCTAGCTCACTACCGCCATACCTGATCAATTCACTGGAGTGGGTGCCCAGAGATGATTGTCGCTCCCCAGTCTCGAAGAGAATCGCCTGCCCATGTGTCTCGTTCCTTCCGCTTATGGTCTGTTCAAAATCGCCCGTCTGGAAGTCGCCTACCCCTGTGCCGCCTACCCCTGTTCTCCTCTGATGCAGCAGAACTTTCGACGATGATCCAAGCCTCTGCGTCGATACTTCAGCTTCCTTCCAAACCGAAAAAGCTAGCCAGACTTTCGGGACTCCCAAACGCCAACAAAGTCAGTGTCGCCCGTCCAATGAATGTTCCGACTTACCAGAAAGAATCGACGCGTAAAGCAGCCGGAGTTGCTTGCCTGGGGGCGGAGGCACTCCTCAGCTAGGTTTTTTTTTAATCGTTTCGGGTCACCTGTTTCTATTACATTTGAGAAAAATAGACACTAGTGGAAAATATGGATTTAATAACGGTTATAATGGACTTTTAATAACGGTTCAGAACCGTTATTATTGCAGCACCTATTAAAAGTCCGGTACTTTTAATATGGGTTCGGGAACCGTTATGGAAGTTTTTTTAATAACGGTTCAATTGGGCTTTTAATAACGGTTATAGGCCGATATTGTTGTGCCACATGTTAAAAGTTTTAATAACAGGTTAAATACAACTGCCATTGAAGATCTTTTGTATGGGTTACTCAACCCATATTAAATGTAGGCTACCGGCCGTTTTATCCATATACCACTATTGTCCATTTTGTCATGTCTATTCTTTAAACTACAATACTGAATCAACAAAAAGAATAACTTAAATAATATCAACCATATATTATTAATTATTAAAAATTACAAGGTCCAGACGAGTATTTTATCCCTAAACAACCTTGACAAATATATGTCATAGTTTACAACATACTACTACTAATAATAATATAAAGATCAAATGCTCATAGCTTCATATAGAGACGAGGTCATCTCTCTCATGCCTCATTGATTTCTTCTTCACTGAATGAAATCTTGGACGTCAAATACCTATAAGTTAGAAAATGAAAGTAAATGAATTGTAAACAATTGAAGTCAAAGATATAGAATGAGTAAAGATAAAAATATAATTAAAACATAAACTTCATGCATGAACCAATAATACTATCGGAACAATAGTAGTCATATGTCTCATAATATAGTATCCATATTCATAAATCATAACCCTCGATATGTTGAAGACTGCAAATAAATAAGCATACAATTAAAGTTATATGTCACCCAAACCAAAGATAAGCAGCAATATAAAATCTGATTATTCTCTTACATTACAAGTGCATTTAATCAAACAAATAAAAATTACAAAACTCAGTTATAACAGTTACATCAAAATTACATAAACTATAAGAATTGTAGTACTTCAAGATAAATATGGATGATAATTATTATTACTATTGGTTGAACCTGTCTTGGTTTGGAATTTCTCTTGATTTTGGTCATTTGACGTTTTTGCATAGCTCTAATGAAATAACTATACAAACAAAACTAGTCATGTAGATTTCAGAGTTTTAATGGCAACTATCAATTTAATTTAATACTACTAAAATAGAATCTCACCAATCTGAAAGACTACTCTATTCTTTGACTTATTCCCCAATGAGCACAACGTGACAATTACATTATGCTCCAATATAACCCAAATAACTGTTGATGGTTCCTGAAATGAAAATAGTACAAACCTTTAGATACTTATTGAGTTGATCTTAAAGATGAGAGAAACAATAAGGAGAAGAAGACTCACAACCAAGGTGATGAGAGTAAAACTCATATAAAGAAAGTGCACACGAAACGGCAGTAAAATATGACAACAAAAAACAAACTTCCTGGAATGCATATATAAAGTAGAAGTTATAGCTTCAGAGAGAGGAGGAAGTAATTTTGAAATGAAAATGTGATAAACCCAAAATACTAACAATCGAACAATCTATAGCAGTTAAGAAGAAGCAGATAGAAAGATATCGAGAAGATTAACCGAATCTGGTATACCGTATAAACTGGCCGCTGCTCTCCCTGGAGAAGGAGAGCAGCGGCAACCCTAATCTTTCTATCTCTACGCTTCTGCGTCTCTAAGCCTCTCTCAAAATCGTTAGGGTTCCCGTAAGTTAACCTCCTTTTATAGGAGAAGTTGGCTAACTTACGGGTTACAAGGAAGCCCCCGGGCTGATACACATTTGTGGTCCGTATTACACGTTTAATTAATAACTACACAAATACAAAGATATTTAATTAGATTGGACACCATAAAATATTCCTAACAATCTCCCCCTTGGTGTTCAATCGTGTTGAATCAGCATTGCAACGCAGATATCTTTGTCTTTGTTGTTATTCAGCTTCCTTTGTCTTTGAACTTGACTTCTGAGGAAGGCTATCCGAAGAAATCCTTGCAATCTCCCCTTTGATGTCTTCTTGACAATTTGATCTTTGATGCCGGGGGTTGAGGGACCTTCTGTATCTTGCATGTAGTCCTTGCCTTCCAGAAGTTGCTCTTGATCAGCTTGGATGAAGTCCGGTGACGCCTCTAGAATGAATATTCTTTGGAGAATAGGAGACGCCCATGGAATTCATCTTCAGGACACGAGTATCTGACCTTTGTCCCCTCCACAATGTAGTCTTTTTGACTATTTGGAATGAATGCATTTGAGAAGAACTTGTCGGTGGCACAGCGGAACATAATGATGGTTGATTTGTGAGTGTAGCTGACCATTTGATTTGAGTTGTAGAGATAGCAGAGAAGGTGTTGATTTTTGTGATGGAGGAGTGAAGTGTCCCAGAATGATTTGTTCAGTGTTAACAGCATGTGGACCACTCTCCCCCTCATGACGATCCGATGAATCGGGACATCATGCTTTTATTCTTTTATTCTGCGGAAATAAAACAGGAAACAAACAGAAAGAGTGAATGATAAAAGCCCCCCGGGGTCGTGTAGACACCCGTTTTCATCCCTATAGAGATAAACTCTAAAGCAATGGCCTGAAAATGTTGGTGATTCTTATGTTGCAACAGCAGGACTTCCTTCCAATTATTGGTCTACATTTGTAAAAGATGAGCCCTATGGAAGTTCTCGCAAGTCTTGAAGACTAGCAACTGACTCTAAAATGTGTTTGTGTCCTAGAAAATTTCAAAACATTTGGGAGTGAGTAACTAGACACGACGTGATCAAAGAAAGTTCAGTGGCATGGGGCTGAGGCCACTGTAGTCAGTATTACTTGCCTCGTAAGGAGGTAGTAATGAGAGACTGCTCAAATCGAATCACCGAGTCAAAAGTTATGGCCAAAATAGTGCGGTGTCGCAGAAAATCTCTAATTTTGAGTTTTTGAGGAATTTCTTCGAAGATGAGGTTCTCGATGTTGAATATCGAGAGCAGGTGGATTTTAAACAAAATTCTAAGACAATACCTCGAAATCCTAATCTCGAGGTTTAAATCTCGAGATTACAATCTCGAGTTTTAAATCTCGAGATTACAATCTAGAGGTTGCCTCGAAGAATAATGGCGATCCACCTGCAAAACAAACCTCAGAATATCGAAATCTGCAGAATTTCAAAATGTTTGGAACATCGAAAACTTTGGAGTTTCGAAAACCTCTGATGGAGTATATGGCCCGGGAACCCTCGGCCCACAGACTCCTACTACTCCAATCAAGGCCCAACAGGCCCAGAAGGCCCAACAGGCCCAGAAGGCCCAACAGGCCCAAATCACAGCGCCCAGAGTACCAAGGAGCCCACAATGCGCACCAGGGGTCCCTTCGGCCCCCTGGCCGAAGGCTCTAACTCTCACAGGAGGGCCAACACAGCAAAACAAAGTTACTGGGGAAAACAGCGAAAATCAGTAGCCCTCGGCACCTGGAGCCCTCGGCACCAAGGGGGTCCCCGGTACTCAGACCCCTCGGCTAGTCCTCTACAGCCGAGGGCACCTTTCCTGACATGATATCCACGCCACATGCGTACAGATCACCGTACCTTGTACAACGTCCCATCCAATAGCCGCATTAAATGCGGCCACATGCGGTTGCCAGCGCCAACCAGTTGAGGTGACCTCTCGGCCAATGGACGCTTGACACGTGTCCCTGTCCAGCATTTATTGCTACTATAAATAGCACCCCATTTCCCCATTTGTAACCAAGTCATAACACGCTGAAAACGCTGAACACTCTCCAATATACTCTCTCTATATATATACTTACTTGCTCTGACTGCTCTCTTGTTATTCCCCGTAATAACCCCTCGGATAAGCTACCCCCCGGGTACACTATCCATCATTTGGTGCTCTCGTTGAGAGGTCGAACAATCAAGTAAGAAACCCTCCCCCTCGACCAAACACAAAAACACCCATCCAAAATGGTGAGAACAACTTGTGCCAACTCCAAGAATGTAGAGGACAGGAACCTGGCCCTCGGCGAGGTCGACGTCCCCGAAGCCTCCAACAGGGCTCCCGGGGGCGGCGTCATCGCCAGGTTGGACCAGACGGCTGTCGACCTACGCCAGCAGATTCAGCAAAATGCCCCCGATGCCCGCCTCAGCATCGAGGCCAAGAAGAAGGATCGGAGCGAAAATCAAATTAGCCCTTCGGTCATCACCATAGACGTACAATCGGCGCTCTCCGCCTTCATCCAGACGCTCACTCAGAACCCGGGTGCCTTCGGCACTTTGGTTCCCCTCCAACCTCAGGTGGGGGAGAATATTATGCCTCCCCCTCATCCACGACCCCTCAGTAACCCCGTCCTCCGGATGGGAAACTCCGAGGGGGTCGTGGCCCAAGATACGGCCTCCCAGGAAGTCCAGTCTCGGGACCGCCACAACGTGAACAAGGAGAAGTTCCGGACCTCCGCCCTCGAGAGGCTCGGAGGGGCGCAAGACCGCCGAGGGGTCCAAGACCGCCTCGGGGGGAAGGCGTTCCAAAGGCCTCAGGAAAGTGGCGGGTCCGTCTCCAGGGCCAATGAAAGGCGTCCCCCTCAGGACAAGGGCAAGGCACCTCTCCATGCCGATGACGCACGCCATCAAATCAATCAAGCCCACTCGGCTCGGGTCCATTCGCAGGGGGCGGAGGCCCTCCCGAAGGACCCCCAGGACGAAATCATTGCGGCCCTCCAGCGCCGGCTTGACGAGATGGAGGCCACCAAAGCCCACGCCACCACTTCTGCCCCTCATACAGACCTCAAGTATGAGGCAATGATGGCCAAGATGGAAGAAATGCAGAAGAAAATAGCCGAGGGCTCCGGGGAACCCACCCTACAGCTCCGGACCCGGACGCCATTTACCCCAAGGGTATTGGCTGCCCGGATCCCGGAAAAATACCGAGGGCATCTCATCAAGCCCTATGACGGAAAGACGGACCCCCAAGGACACTACAGCAGGTATCAAAACAGCATGATGATGGTGGGGGCATCAGACGAATATTTGTGCCGCTGGTTCCTCTCCACCCTAGAGGGGTCAGCTTACGAATGGTTCAACCGATTGCCCGAGGGCTGCATTGACTCATGGCAAGAACTCGCCCAGCGATTCTTGACGCAATTCGCGGGGAGGCGCCGTACAAGAAAACACTTCTCCCACTTGCTAACAGTGAGGCAGAAGAAGGAGGAGACCCTTCGGGACTTCCTAGAGCGCTGGAGGACGGAGGCTGATAAAGTTGGCGGCGCTGATGACGGGACCCTCCTGGCCCTCCTACAAACAGTACTCCGCCCCGGGAACTTCTCCAGAAGCCTCATCATCGAACCCCCCCGCGATTATATTAGGGCCCTACAGCGGGGGGACCGGTACGCCGAGGCCGAGGAGGTGGAGAAATGCCATCATGTCCCAGATCAGCAACGCCCTCGGCCAGAAGACAAAGGTAACCGGGGACCGGAGGCTCCCCGCAATCATCCGAGGGAGTCTGCCCCCTCCGGTGATTGCCCCCGGCATGGCCAAGCCAAGCCCGGGGGAGGCTACAAGGGGAACCCGAGGGCTTGGGCACAACCTGTCCTCCTGGAGCACCCTCGGACACCATTGACGCATCCCGTCAGCGTTATTCTTGATTTTGCTGAAGAGAGGGGCGTCGTGGAGCGAGATTCACGCGCGCCCTCAGAAGTATTTGCCATCAATCCAAACTACCCCTTCTGTCGTTTCCACCGACACCAGGGGCACAGGACCGATGATTGCCATCAGCTAAAAACAACCATTGAGAGATTAATACAAGCGGGCCATCTGTCCCAGTTTGTCCAGGGCCCTCAGCAACAGCCCCCCCCCCCCCTCATCAGGGGCCACCTCGAGGGCAAACTGCGAGAGCGAATGCATGGGTCAACCCCAACACCATCCCCCTCGGCAAGAAGAGGGAGATTGGAAATCTGGATGAAGAGGAGGAGGAGTACCCCCGGTATCAAGAAAAGAAACGCCACATCCTCATGATTACGGGGGGAAATACCGGGGGTGACTCCACAAGTCAACGAAAGAAGTGGGCTCAATCACTTTACGTGGGGGAAGTCACTCATATGCCCCCAGTAAAGCGGTTGAGGGAGGAACCCATTATCTTCACCAACGCTGATCTCCCCCCAGTATCCTCCCCCCACAGGGATGCCCTCGTCATCCGCACAGAGATCAACGACACCATTATTCACAGAACTTACATTGACACGGGCAGCTCCGTCAATGTAATGTACCTCAGCACCTTCAGAGGGCAGCTCCGTCAATGTAATGTACCTCAGCACCTTCAGAGAGCCAAGCTCGAAGTGGAGTTCGTCGTCGTCAACATCGATTGCGCCCACCACATCATCCTCGGCCGGCCAGCCCTCGAGGACCTCGAAGCCGTCATCTCCATGAGGCACCTCTGCCTCAAGTTCCCAGCCGAGGGGGAATCGGTTACTCAAGGGGGAACCAAAAGCTTGCCCGCGCTTGCTACCATCAAGTTACGAAGAAGGTTAGCAAGACGGAGTTCCGCGTTGACACCATCACCGGAACTGTGGAAGCGAAAGAAAAGAGGTCGAGGGCTGAACCAGCCGAGGAGGTAGAAGACTTCGCGCTCGATCCGGCCAAGCCGGAGAGAGTCGTGAAGATTGGAGCCAAGCTCCCCGAAGATTTGAAGACCGGCATCATCAGCGCCCTCCGCGCCTACTCCATTGTTTTTGCATGGGGGCCGGAGGACATGCCGGGGATCAGCCGAAGGGTCATCACCCACCGCCTCTCGGTGGACCCTTCGGCCAAGCCAGTACAGTAGCGGAGGAGACCCCTCTCGGCCGAGAGGAGGGAATTCGTGAAGAAGGAGGTTGCCATGCTCCTTTCTATCAAACACATCAAGGAGGTCAAGTACCCCTCATGGCTGGCAAACGTAGTCCTCGCACAAAAACCGCCCTCATTCCGCATGTGCGTGGACTACACGGATCTCAATAAAGCGTGTCCCATGGACCCCTTTCCTCTGCCCAATATCGATCAATTGGTGGATGAAACAGCGGGGTGTGAAATCATGTCATTCCTCGACGCATTCCGCGGATATCATCAAATATACATGCATGAGGAGGACGCTGAAAAAACAACCTTCATGACTCCCGAGGGCATCTTCTGCTACCTTGTCATGGCCTTCGGCCTAAATAACTCAGGTGCCACCTACACTCGGATGGTGGCTAGGGTATTCCAAGCTGTCCTAGGGCGCATCATGGAGGCATATGTTGACGATATGATCGTAAAAAGCAAGCAGTCAGCAAGCCATGCTGACGATCTGAGGGAGATCTTCGCCATCATGCAGAAGTTTAGCCTTCGGCTGAACCCAAAGAAGTGCACCTTCGGCGTCCAGGGGGCAAATTCTTGGGCTATATGGTGAGCCGAAGGGGTATAGAGGCCAACCCCGAGAAAATCCAGGCCATCATCAACATGGAGCCCCCACGCAACGTGAAGGAGGTCCAACGGTTGACGGGCCGCCTGGCAGCCCTCAACCACTTCTTATCAAAATCGGCAGAGAAGTCCTTACCCTTCTTCCAGATCATGAGGAAAACCGCCGGTTTCCGGTGGACTTCAGAATGTCAGGGGGCATTCGAGGAGCTGAAACGATACTTATCTTCACCCCCTGTGCTCTCTAAACCCAAGGTAGGGGAAATCCTGTACCTCTACTTGGGTGTTAGCCCGGCTGCCATCAGCTCTGTACTCATCCGGGAAGAGGATGGCATCCAACATGCCATCTTCTATGTTAGCAAGACCCTCAGGGAAGCGGAGCTCCGGTACTCCCCCGTGGAAAAAACGGTGTTGGCTATCGTGTGGACCGTCAAGAAGTTGGGCCATTACTTCCAGGCTCACCCGGTCCAGGTCCTCACTCACCAACCCCTCGGCGCCTTGATGAGGAGCCCCACTAGCTCCTCCCGAATGGTAAAATGGGTTGTCTTCTTGAGCCAATACAACATCGACATCCGTCCTAGGCCCGCCATCAAAGGCCAGGCCCTAGCGGACTTCGTGATGGAGTGCATGGCAAGGGCAGCCACGGAAGAGGAGCCCTCGGCCCCTTCAGATGACTGGTGGACCCTCTACACCGACGGCTCCTTCGCCATCAAGGCATGCGGAGGAGGGGTGGTTCTCATCTCACCCGATGGCTTCCGGGCCTATTATGCAGTCTGTTTCTCCTTCAAAGTCTCCAACAATGAAGCCGAATACGAGGCCCTCCTCTGTGGCCTCCGGCTGGCAGCTAACATGAAGGCCTGACAAATCCACGTCAAGTGCGACTCCAAGTTAGTCGTCGGCCAAATCTCCGGGGAGTACGAAGCCAAGGAAGGGAGAATGAAGCAATACAAGGAGGCGGCCAAGGAGTTGCTTAAGGTATTTGAGACACACTCTCTTACTCAAATACCGAGGGCTCAAAACTCTGAGGCCGACATTTTATCAAAGCTCTCGGCAGAATCCCCTGAACATATCTCCAAGATTGCCAAAGTAGAAGAACTCAGCCTCTCTAGCATACATGCTAGCCCCGTCATGGATATACAACAAAGACAGGAGGACTGGATCTCGGATATTGTTGCCTTCATCACCACAGGGCAACTGCCCGAGGATGAGGCCCGCGCCAAGTTGGCAAAGATGAGGGCTCCCAGCTACACTATCGAGGACGGGAGGCTTTACAAAAGGCCCTACAACGGGACGTTGCTTCGGTGCCTTCATCAAGATGAAGCCGAAGTAGCAATGGAGGAAGTACACAGTGGCACTTGCTCATCTCACCAGGGACCCTTCTCCATGTCCCGAAGGCTAGTGATCCAGGGCTACTTCTGGCCTACGATGGCCCGGGATTGTGCAGATCTTGTCCGGAGGTGTCCCGCATGCCAACACTTCCAGAAAGCCCCCGGCAGGCCAGCGGTCAATTATGCTCCCATCAGCACGTCCATACCCTTCGCTCGATGGGGCATAGACCTTGTGGGCCCCCTGCCGAGGGGTACCTCCAACAATAGATACATCATCGTCGCCATCGATTACTTCACCAAATGGGTGGAAGCTGAACCCCTCGCCAGCATCACTGAGGTCAGGTGCCGTCATTTTGTTCTCAAAAACATCCTCACCAGGTTTGGCGTCCCTCAGCAAATCATCTCCGACAATGGGACTCAATTCGAGGCAGCCCCCTTCTGTGCCCTCCTAGAGGCATGGGGCATCAAACACACCTTCTCGTCCGTTGCCTACCCTCAGGGCAACGGACAGGTGGAGAACGCCAACAGAACCTTGCTCGAGGGCCTAAAGAAGAAGCTGGAGGCCGAAGGGGGTGGTTGGGTAGAAGAGCTCCACAACATCTTATGGGCCTACCGTACCACCCCTCGGCGGGCAACTGGCGAGACACCCTTCTCCCTTTGCTACGGATTTGAAGCCAAAGCCCCCACTGAGGTAACTCTTCCAACCCGAAGGGTCACACAGTATGATCCGGAGGCCAACGACACCAATATGGCCCTCGATCTCCACCTTATTTCGGAACGCCGGGAGCAAGCCTTCATACGCGCAGAGAACTACCGAAGGCAGGTGAAGAGCTACATCGACGCCAAGGTTCGCTCCCGGGAATTCCAAGTGGGGGACTATGTCCTCCGAAGAAGGGAAGCTAGCCAACCAACCGAGGGCGGAAAGATGGCACCAAAATTCGAAGGCCCCTACATCGTGGCAGCCATCATCAAACCAGGAACTTACAAACTAAAACGCCCTAACGGGACCGAAGTCCCTAGGCACTAGAATGTACATCACTTAGTTAAATTTTATCAATAACATCAGAGCGGCCAAGCCCTCAAAACTAGTGAATGTATTATTTTATGGCCCAAGGCCTAAGAATTCTGAAGAATGAAGGCGTTTTGAAGACACCGAGAACACGGAACAAGATTAACACAGGGGCCAAGCCCTCATATCACCCCCAGGCCCAAGGCCTCACCACCATAGAAGAACTCTCGGTACCAAGTGCCGAGGGTAGACAATATTATCACCTACGACAAAGCACCACCTGTCCCCCAAAAAAGAAACCCCTCGGCACCTGGTGCCGGGGGGCACGCCACTAGCAGCTTTCAACAAATAAGGAGAAACACCAAGTGTTTCCACAGAAGACCCTTCGGTACCAAGTACCGAGGGTAGATAACATAATCCCCTTCAATAATCGGGGAGAAACACCAAGTGTTTCCACAGAAGACCCCTCGGTACCAAGTACCGAGGGTAGACGACACAATCACCTCCTCCAACAAATAGGAAGAAACACCAAGTGTTCCCACAGAATACCCCTCGGTACCAAGTACCGAGGGTAGACACCACAGTCCCCTACGACAAGTGAAGAAAAAACACCAACTATTTCCACAGAAGACCCCTCGGCACCAAGTGCCGGGGGCCATACATCGAAACAAACACCAAGTGTTGTTTCTTAAGTCGTACCCCTCGAGGACGCCTATACCGAAGGCGCCCCCAATCGGTGCCGGCAGCACGTAGTGCACCCGGCCATTTGCAACCAGTGTGCAAATGAAAACCCTTCCCTGAAACGATTTCCGCGTCATCACCCAAGGGTATGACAGGCATGAGAAATGCCCAGGATTCGACTTTCAAAAATGGAACGCTTTCCGCGTCATCACCCCAAGGGTTTGACAGGCACGAGAAATGCCCAGGATTCGACTTCCAAACCGAAATGCTCCCCGCGCCACCACCCCAAGGGTGTGGTAGGCCACGGACTATGTCTAGCGCCGAGGGGACGACTTTCAAAACTGAGGCGCTTTCCGTGCCATCCCCCAAGGGGAGGCAGGCTACGGACCACCATATCTTGTGTCCAGGAAACGACCCTCGATCCCCTCGAAACTCGGAAGGTTAACCCGAGGGGGGAGCTAATGGTGTATTCTGTTACCTCCCGATAGGCCAAGCCTTACCACGAAACCAAGTTTTTTGAAGCCTTCCCTTCACTACTCAAAAAAAAAATAGGGTGGTGAAGGGGAGTAGACTCGGCGAGAAATCAATGAGTACATCACTCCAACAATTTACAAAAACATACCGAGGGCTCCCCACGGGAACACCTTCGGTACCTTGGAAGTTCACAAGTAAAAAGGATACCATTCACAACAGACATCATCAACGAATGGCTAAGTCCACTCAAGGATTGCCTCCGGCTATACCTAAAACCGAAGGCTCAAACAACTCAAAAATTCCCGAAGGGCACCATATGACAAACAACCGAAGGGTCCTCCCGAAGGCCAGCGGCAAGAAATACTTGGAAAAAATAGCCTAAGTCCTAAATGCTTTGCCCCTTGTGGAGCCATCAGTCAACCGAAGGCATATCTGAGACAAGGCCCTCACAGTCACTCGCGGGCTCCTACTTCACGCATACTACACTTAGAAAAATGTTCTAAGTCCTACATATTTTGGCCCTCGGTCAAATCTCCATGCTGCCCGAGGGGCCACGCGGTTGAAGATTTGGTGAAGCTACATTTAGAAAAAAATTCTAAGTCCTACATACTCTGACCCTCGGTCAAAACTCCATGCTGCCCGAGGGCTCATACTTCATACATGCTACACTTAGAAAAATTTCTAAGTCCCAAAAGTTCATACCCTCGGTGACAAGTTTCTAAGTCTCGAATCTCCCTGCAGCCCGAGGGGTCACACGATTGAAGGCTTGGTGAGACTACACTTAGAAATATTTTCTAAGTCCTGATTATTGTTGGGCCCTCGGTCATACATCTAGCGAAGGGTGCCCAATACCGAAGGCTAAAACTGTATTCAAACACTTAGAAAAATTTTCTAAGTCCTAAGCACCTCACCTCCGGCTATCTCACGAAGGCTACATGGAACCAGAGGGGAGGACCCGACCGGGGGCCAACAGATGAACAAACACTTAGAAATATTTCTAAGTCCTGAACATTGTGCCCTCGATGAAAGGTTCAACGGACAAAAGATTACTAGTAGCCGAGGGCTACAAGAAGCACTACACTTGGAAGGATATATTCTAAGTCTTAAACATACATTCAGAAGAGCGAAGACATACATTCAAAAGAAAACGACGGCATACATTCGAGAAGAAACGAATTAAAGGGAAGCATGTTATATATCAAAAGCCCGAAGGCATATGTACTCATTCATCCGATGAAGGGAAGTTTAAATGTACGTTACAAAAAGGGCCGAAGTCAACAATTACAACAAAGTATGATTACAAATCGGGGGGAATACATTTCACGAAGGGTGAGCTATAGAAACAGCCTCACTCTCGGCCTCATCCCCATCACCCCCGAGGCCGCACTCCCTTAGGGTCTCTGAGTCTTCGAGCACTGGCCTCTCTTCTCCTTCAGGGAGCAGGATCCTGATGTCTGGCTGACGAGGGGGGAGGCCATAAGCCTCTGGATGGAACTCCTCCGGTGCGATCTTGAAATGCCTCGCAAGCTTCCGGTAGATGAGGCGCTGGGTGAAGAACTCCCCGCCTTGATAGTAAGATTCGCCCCTCTTAGCAAGCCACATCTTGCCGGGGCCTCCGACCCATTCGTCCACCGAAGCCCCCACCACCGAAGTGAGCCACTCCCTCCGGTCTTCAGCCTTCCATCCCTCGGCAGTGAAGCTGGCCACCGCATCCTCCCGGGCTCTGGAGACGGCCTCTTCTTGATCTGCGCGGGCTTCATCAGCAGCAATGCAGGCGGCCTCAGCAGCAGCCTTCCCTGCCCTGGCCAGGCCCTCATTCACCCCTTCGGCCCTCGCAGCTTGCACCCGCTGCTCCATGCCATCGGTAGCCAGGCGAAGGGAGTCCTCAGCCTCGGCAAGTTTCTTCTTGAGGAGGGCGGCCTCCCCTTTGGCTGCGCCTTTTGCCTCTCTCATTTGCTCCACCCTCCGGAGGTGCTCGCAGAGGCCCATGAAGCTCTACAATTCACAAAGGCGAGAATAAGACATGAGGAACACATTACAAAAAGAAAAAAAAACAACAACGAACAAGGAAAGGATGGGTATGACTTACGGAGGCAACGTTCAGAAGGACCTTCGCCTCGAGGGATCCCTCGTCCAACCTGGCGAGGGCTAAGCGGTCAGCCGATGGCAGCATCTGGCTCATCAGTGCCGAAGGGTTCAGGCTGCCCTCCAATACAGAAGCCCCATTCGGCACTAGCACCTCCAGTTTCTCCCGCCCGAAGAACTCCTGGTTGATATGTTCCTGGGAGGTGGGGGCAGAGGCATGCCCTTCATCCACGATCACAACCACATCGGTGGTCGGCTGCTTGGCGGGGGCGGCGGTCTTCACCTTCTTTGCCGGGGGCTCGGTCCCCTTGCCGACATTCTTCTTCTTCGCGGGCCCGGCACCCCTCGACCCTCCGGCGCCGGCACCGGCAGCAGCAGCTTGGGAGGGCTCCTCCCTGGCAGAAGTGCCCGCCGGGGCCTTCTTCTTCCCTTTCGCATTCTTCAAAGCGAAGAGAGAGCCTACGTCCATGTTATTACCTGCAAGAAAAAGACGCATGAGGGTTAGACCGAAGGGTATGAATTACAATGCATAAAAGAAAGGAAAGAAAAGGAATGTATGAAGAAAAACTGTCAAGGTACAAATGAACCCTTCGATAATCACCTCCAGCTCCTTCGAAGACTCGATCGAGGGGAGGGTATCTTTCATCCGAAGAGCCCCTCGGCCTGAACCGCCGGAAGCCCAGGCTAAGCAATTCCTCAGGGAGGGTGACGTCTTTAATCTTGACGTGCTTGTCAGACCCCTCTGTTTTTTTGGCAAGCACTTTGCCATTCTTCTCCAGGGCTGCGCTCCCTACCTTCGGGTGACGCCGAAAGTTGTTGAGGAGCTGGACCGGGAAGGGGTTCTCCTCGAGACGAATGTAGCAAAATCGCTTCTTCCACCCCTTGTGGGACGAGGGCACGTCGTCAAAGAGCCTGAACTCCGGTACCTGCTGAAGGTTGGCAAAGCCCTCAGCGTTTGAATGCCCCCCCGGTAGAGGTTAAAGGACATGAAGAACTGATCAAGGGTAGGTTCAACCCCCCGGCTCCGGCACAGAGAGAGGAAGCCGGCCACGTAAGAGTGGATGTTGGGCATTAGCGGGCAGGGGGCCAACCCCACGAACCTCAAGTATTCCAGCAAGAAGGGATGAAGCGGAAACCGAAGCCCCATCTCCACCGAGAGAGTGTGAACAGCAAAACACCCTTCGGGCGCATATCGCAATAGATCATCTGCCCGGGGCTCCACCACGCGCACCGAAGGGTCGACCAACATCTGAGTGGCCTGGTATTCTACCGGGACGCCCTCGTCTTCAGCTCCAGGGCGGCGGTGTTCAGGAACGAGTGGCCCTCGGGTATGCCTACCGGCCGCCCGACGTCAACAGTCGCTTGTTTCTTCCTCGGGGGGCCCCTCATCTTCTTCTTCTTCCCGGGAGCCACGCTGATGGGTGTCGGGTCCAATGGCCGGGAGGAGCTGGATTCCCCGGCACCACGAGGGGGAAGGACGGCAACCGTCACCTTCATCCTCTCCCTCTCCTCTTCTTCTTCGGCAGTTTGCACGGCGAGGGCGAGCTCTTCGTCCTCATTCACTTGCTCGAAGTCTTCGGCTTCGACTTCAGCCTGAAGGTCTTTCTCCACCTCCATGGCCACCGCAGCATCACCACCCGAGGACTCCCCGCTCGAGGACTCGACATCTGAGCACGTCTCCATCTCGACCGAAGGCTCCCCCGAGATATCCTGGGAGTCGCTTTGTGAAGACATCTTCCCACTAGCCAAGGGCTCGGAAATGCTAAGTATCCTAAAAAATTCTAACTCCTAGCCTAAAGGCACAGGGCACAACTAGCTAGGAGGAGAAAAGCAGGGGGAACTAACCTTAAGAGCTAGGAATCAACCGAAGGTTGGAGTTTCTCTCTCTAGAAAAAATCTGGCAGAGCTTTGCTAACAAGATTTCGCACAAGGGGAAGTGTCCGGCCATGGGGTATTTATAGGCAAAAGGATCCGGGCTTGGGCCTGGAAACCGGGCCTCCGGTTGGACTGCCATCATTACCAACCGTGGTTTCACCCAATCGGTGACGCCCGCCCACGGGCAGCCAACGAGCACGCACCACGTGGTAACCCCCCCAACGGCTATATCCTGACGTTACATATTCCAACGGCTATATTTCCAACGGCTATATTCTGGGAGCCCCCGGGCTTTTTACTTCACTCCACTTCATCAAGAAGAGCCCCGGTATTTATTGCTACTATAAATAGCACCTCATTTCCCCATTTGTAACCAAGTCATAACACGCTGAAAACGTTGAACACTCTCCAATATACTCTCTCTCTATACTTACTTGCTCTGACTTCTCTCTTGTTATTCCCCGTAATAACCCCTCGGATAAGCTACCCCCGGATACACTATCCATCAACCTCATAATCTCGAAAACTTGATGTTTGAAAAACATCAGAACATCGAAAACTCCTGAAACATCTATAAGCAGGGAATTATTCAGAAATCCTATAATGTAAAGCTTCGATGAACTGCGAAGAATGTCAAGATTCGAATTATGAGTTCCAAGAAACTGCAAACTTTGAAAGATTCAAAACATCGAGAAATTTTGAAAATCTCAAAATCTTCAGAATGTCGAGATCCAAAATATCGAGATCCCAAATGTCGAAATCCCAAAACTCGAAATTCCAAAAGATTTTCAGAGGCAGAATGTCGAAAATCAGATGTCGAGATCTGAATATCGAGATCTAGGATTTCGATAAAGGAGGCCCGATTTCGAGATTTGATATCGAGATTAGGATGTCGAGTTTTGAAATCTCGAGATTTCAAATGTCGAGAAGTAAATCTCAAGATTTGAGATGTCGAGAAGTGAAACTCGAAATATTATTTCGAGAAGTCAAATGTCGAGACCAGAAGTCGAGACCTTAAAATCGAAACCTCGATCTCGAGATTTGGATGTCGAGATCCTCAATGTCGAAATCCTGCTAATGAAAACATCGATTTTTGAAAATCTGAAACCTATTCTGAAAAACCCTGAAGGTTGAGATTCTCCTGTATCAGTTTCAATCCAAAAACGTATTTGCAGCAGTGAAAAATAAGGATTTCGAGATCTCAATGTAGAGATCTTCGAAATATAAAAATTGCAGAAAACGAAAAAAAGAGGTATGCTGCTGGATCGGTTTTGAAAGGCGAGTCCAACAATATGATTTTTACAAAATTTCGTTCTCAAACAAGATTACAGGAGCAAATCTCTACATATTAGAAAAACAGAAGAAAAGCAGAGCAGTTCTTCGTTAGATCCAAAAAATCGCAGATAGATCCAACCTGTTTCACGCCTCGGCTCTGATACCAATTGATAAACCCAAAATACTAACAATCGAACAATCTATAGCAGTTAAGAAAAAGCAGATAGAAAGATATCGAGAAGATTAACCGAATCTGGTATACCGTATAAACTGGCCGCTACTCTCCCTGGAGAAGGAGAGCAGCGGCAACCCTAATCTTTCTATCTCTACGCCTCTGCGTCTCTAAGCCTCTCTCAAAATCGTTAGGGTTCCCGTAAGTTAGCCTCCTTTTATAGGAGAAGTTGGCTAACTTACGGGTTACAAGGAAGCCCCCGGGCTGATACACATTTGTGGCCCGTATTACACGTTTAATTAATAAATACACAAATACAAAGATATTTAATTAGATTGGACACCATAAAATATTCCTAACAAAATGTAATACATTTGAAAAGTTATTCACGTTCATTTCTCAATAGATCTCTCAGTTCACTATTGAATTGAATAACATTTGCTACGAAAAACTAACACCAAATAAAATTAACATTTTCAAGTTTGCACTAAAATAGAACAGATGAAAGACTGCTTCACTTTACATTACCCCGGGGTTGATAAGATGCCACCATTAAAGGGCTGATAAGATGCTGCCATTAAAAGCCTGATAAGATGAAATTATGAGTTTATGATTCTGTCACATGTTTAGTTCTATTATAATACTTATCAATTCAAATCATTAATCTTCGTAAATTCAAAAATCTCTTCCTCGTAGAAATATGTATTAATCGTCAAGAACACCCAAATGCCTGTCCAAAGGATAAATTTGGAATGAAGATTTACCAGCACTGGTCCAGGAGAAGCTTCACTTTTTCCACCAAACTTGGAAAGAACATCAAATGCATGCAATTTCCGGTCCAAAATTAGAGTAACAACAACACTAGCTACACAAACATTGCCATGAACCTGAATCAACGAGAAAAGCGGTTTAGCCTTTAAGTGTCATAAGCAGCACAAATCAAGATGTTTACAAACACTTACACCCCCCAAGAAATAAGATTTATAGTATCTTACAAGCTTATAATCGTTATTCAAGAAGCCCACTGCCTTGGTTATACACAATACTAATACCATTTGTATCCATTTAAGAAATGAGATTTATTGTCACTGCCTTCATTAAAAGGAAAACCAGCCAAACAACCATTTGTACCCATTTAAGAGTTTGAACCGCTTCGAAATGAGAAAAACCCTCTTACTAGACCTCTTTACAATAAAAAAGTAACATTATTAATTTCTTAATTGAAAACAAATCATTAGGTCAATAACAGAAAAGAACAGAACAAATGTATGTAATTAAATTAAGTAATAAAACATTTCATAGCTATGCAATGGTTTGTGACCGCTCCAGTTGGAAAAAGTGGTCTTAGGATAACTCTTTACTAGCAAAAAGTTACACCTTTTTCTATTTTAACGGAAACAGTTTTTAATCTTGAGCCAATAACAAAAAACTATGTCTTCAAGAATTTTCTTTTGAAAAAGGTTCCTCGAATAAATAATGCATACTATGTAGAGAAAGATAACCAATAATAAGGCATGCAATTTTATGTAATTATCCAATTCAAAACATGAATACATGAACATTTCATGTGTAATTAAATCCAGTTATGTTAAGGCCTAAAATTCACAGACTAAAAAGTACATAGTTAAACAATCACAATAGATAATAAATTGGTCTAAATGCTATAAAATACGTTTAGTTAAACCACCGCGATAACTAATACAGAATACCTTTGAGAGTTTGAGTAGCAACCAATCCTAATTCTTTGAGCTTTTCAGAGAGTGGCATATTAGAGAGTAGCATAACAGGTTCAGTGACAATATAAAGTAACACTTGAAGTTGAACCATCAAATATTTCAGCTTCAATGCTGTGAATAAATCATAAAATATTGGGGTGTCTGACCTGAAAATAAAGGAGCAAAGGTAACACAGAATAACTGAAATCCTTTAAAGAGAACATACCATTTGGGATTAATGTGAAACACAAACACGAACGTGGATTTTCTAAATAAAGGCTTATGTTTTTCAATGCTAAAAAATCACTCAGTCTCATTACAAGAGTCTTGTTTGAAGTCTTATTCTCTCAAAAAAAGAGGAGTCTGGTTTGGCAAAATAAAGAAATTTCCCAAACCTAGTAGCGAACAAGTTTAATTTAATATAGATATATATCATACGATAGTATGTAATAAAATATCAGAATAACTTTTTGAATAATATGCAAGTATGGCCAAACCAGACTCTTTCTAGGAAAAGAGCGACTACATTGTCAAAACTCACAAAGTGCTGTTGTGTTTAGAAATGCAGAAGAAGTCATTGCTTGTTATTTACACAAGTTTCTGGTATTAGCTGGTATTCAAACCAAACTGCCTCAACACACAACTTCACAATCAAACTCAAAAACTCTGTTATCTCAAAGTATCAAACTAAGAAACAAGGGAATTGTGTAGTTAAGTGCATAAAAATATAAACCATAAAAATTCAGCAAGATCCGTGAATTTCAGCATCAATAATACAAATCAAGCAAAGAACAATAAAAATTGCAGATTAAGTTTGAAAATTAGGTTAAAAATCTATGAACAAGAAAACATATCATCGATCAATAGATGAATCATAGGCTGATAAATTAAGCAAGGGATAACGAACCTGCTACTTCAATTCGCCTGGTAACATAGGAGGAGCGAGTGGCTAGGGCAACAATCGGCTTGGCACTTCAGCCGTTGGGCTCGACTGCTCGAGCGGTCGGAAGCGTGGCCACTGCAACTGCATAGCTGATCGTGGGAGCTTGGCGAGCCAGGCGATAACTTGCGATGTTGTGCCGGAGGTGGAGGAGCGAACGGCCAGGGCGAAGTCGGCTTGCCTTTCTCTTCCATTTCTAAGTCTAGCGTAGGGACGGTTGGCCTTCTCTTCTGTTTTCAAAGGCACATCTTCTGGTAATTACAATAATGACTCCGAACTAGATGTAGTTTTATGAAAATTATAAATATGACCCCGCTTTTTCTTTTCATATGGGTTATTTAAAGCAACCATTATGGACTAATTTTGGATTTCACAAATTTGACCCATCCGCCAATATTAAATTTGTATTATTTGTGAATAGAACCCCATTTTACTATATAATAACAGTTAAATATTAACCCACATGATCATATTTTACACTAGTGAGAAGGTTGAGATGTTGTTAAAAAATTGGCTGCGTTTCTCTTTGACTATAAAATAAGTAAGTACATATAAGTCTTAATATGTCGTACGTGAAAACCCACACAAATCCGGACAGATTCATACAGAGTATCAACATAAGAAAGTCCATCAAAGTTTTAAAATGAATAAATTCCACTTTTGGTCATACGAGTTTGATGTCAATTCCACATTTAGTCCATGACTTTCACTTTATTCACTTTTGATGCATGACTATTGTGTTTTCACTCATATATGGTCTTTTCGACAATGTTTACGGTAATTAATTAAAATCGTCGGAGAAGGACTACAACTGGTCAAAAATCATTGGTCAAGTACCAAAAGTGGTCAAAGTGAAAGACGTGGACCAAATGTGGAATTGACATAAAACTCGTATGACCAAAAGTGGAAAAATTTCTTTTAAAATTCATGGACTCCAACTTTATGTCACTAATAATAACTAGACAATGAACTCGTGCGTTGCACGGGAAAAATTGACTCACATTACTCAAATAAAAAAGAGATTGAATGAATATTGTATACTACCTCTGGCCCGGGTAATGGTCCCAGATGAGTTTATGGTATTTGACATGTCATAAACTTAAGTGATCTTTGTTAATAATAATAAAAAATTTAGTAAATTAAATTTACATATTCAAAAATTACATTAAAAGTCTTGTAAAGTTGCAAAAAAACTCAAAGTTGATAAAAATTGGATATATAAAGAAAAAGGTCAAGAAAAATTTACATTAATTTTCATCTAATTTTTCATTTCATTAATTAAATATATTTTAAATACGGAGTATAGTTTTTCTATAATTTAGCAGAATAAGAAAATTTAATCAGTTCAGTCAGAATTTCATAATTTCAGCAGTTTTAACCGATTATATATGTCAATTGCAATGTTACTTAACGATGTCTTATGAATAAGTACTTCTTCACTTGACTTCCATGGATGCCACTTATGAGAGAATGAACTTTCATGGGTGTTTTTTAGGGGATCACCAAAGCGGTTCGGTTTGAGTAAACCAAATTGTACTAAATTGAACCAAAATCAAATCATACGCAATTTCGTTTGAATTTAGTGGTATGTCTTTGAAATCAAATTAAATCAAACTAAAACAAATTTAGACCGTGAGAAATCGAATAAGGTCGAGTTGAACTCAAATAGTCAATAGATTCTTAATATTTTTTTAAACATAACAAATTCAAACCGAAACGAATTGAATTAATCGAACTAAACCAAAACATAGTACGATTCCAATCTGTTTCAAACCCAATTGAATTGATATTAAAACCGAATTGTAACCGATGTGCTCACCCTAGTATCTTTGCTTATATAATATAAGCCAACCTCCGTTACCATGGTCTTTTTTCCGTTTACTCCGTCGAGTCTTCATTGCGGCTTAATGAACCTACCGTCACCATAGCCTTATCCGTTTACTCCGTCACTTCTTCTTTGCCGCCGAATCTAAAAAAAAAATCTCTGGTTTATTCTTACCGTTTCGGAGCAACCGTTGGAACATCTCTTCAACCGCTATTAGTTACCAGATGAAGAGTTCATATATATTAGATCTACGACATGCATCTATAACCCTTACCTTTTGCCGTGCTTTCTTACAGATTCGCCAAGGTACTCATTCTATATCCTTGCATCTCTTCATCTCTAAATTTGTTGGCATGAAATCATCTCTGTAATATACTACTCTTCATTCTTAATTTCCAAATACTTCAGACTACTACTTCAAATGGAGTTGGGAAACATCAAAACTTAATTGCAATAGCCCAATTCACGGCATCCCTTTACTAAGACTAAAAAATTCTTAACATCAATTTCATCTTTGCTTATAACATGTTTGACAAAATGCTTAAACTAATGTTTCAAATGAACAGTGCAGTTGTTTTACAAATTACCTTAACCTTTAAGAAAGGACTGATTATCATAATACTTCGTATTTTATTTCTCAAATGGAGTTGGGAAATATCAAAACTTAATTGCAATACCCCAATTCACAGCATCCCTTTTCTAAGACAAAATAATTCTTAACAGCAATTTCATATTTGCTTATAACATGTTTGACAAAAAGCTTAAACCAATGTTTGAAACGAACAATGCAGTTGTTCATCTTGGGTGTTTTTATCATTTGTTTTTACCATAGCACGTATATGGTTTACACTTTCAGTAAACACTTCAAAGTACCAATAAACACATTCTTAGTATATCCTCTTCCAACAGAACACCTTAAAATACTTGCTTTACACTACAATGAAAAATTAAACAATCATTACACGTTACTTTCATACTAACTTCAAAATTCAGTTGTATGAGTTCTTAAAAATCTCCAGAATTCACACATGACTAAAACAAAATTAAAATTTCTATTATTTTTTAAATGTATATCGGATATCTGTCTTTTGTAATAATGGAAAAAGTTTATGGTTTAAAAAAACATGTGTAGTTACTTTAGTTTTACTAATATTGAGTACTTTTTCAGCCAGATTAAATATTCCAAGTTTGAAGTGACATGTTTTCGTTTTATAAAAACTGAAGCTGTGTTCCAAACTTAGATTCTCTTCATCTTAAGCGGAAACTGCTGTTTTAAATTGTCTGCATAGACTATCAAATTTTTCTAGACAACAAACAATTTTGTATAACAAAAAATTACAATTGAGAATACAATCTATAGGTTAAACATGTTAGAAATCAAGGGTTCATTGTATATGTCTGACACACTGTAAATTATAAAATAGGCTAAACCATTTGTTGAACACTTCAATGACATTCCTTAAGTGCTAATCTAATACTCTTCAATTATATATATATAAATCTATACAAAGGAAAATATTAAGAATACCAGAATACTAAGGTTGCTTCAACTACTTAATATACAAAGGTTATGGTTTAAAAAAACATGTGTAGTTACTTTAGTTTTACTAATATTGAGTACTTTTTCAACCAGCTTAAATATTCCAAGTTTGAAGTGACCTGTTTTCATTTTAAAAAAACTGAAGCTATGTTCCAACCTTAGATTCTCTTCATCTTAAGCGGAAACTGTTGTTCTAAATTGTCTGCATAGATTAGCCTATTTTTCTAGACAAAAAACAATTTTGTATAACAAAAAATTACAATTGAGAATACAATCTATAAGTTAAACATGTTAGAAATCAAGGGTTCATTGTATATGTACGACACACTGTAAATTATAAAAAAGGCTAAAGCATTTGTTGAACACTTTAATGACATTCCTTAAGTACTAATCTAATACTCTTCAATTATATATATAGAAACCTATACAAAGGAAAATATTAAGAAAATCAGAATACTAAGGTTGCTTCAACAACTACTTAATATTTAGGAAAATATTTGGGACCTAATTTCTTTATACATTTATATATTCCATAGGTGACTGCAAAAAAGGCCTACGACTCCTATATAAAGGTATGTTTACTCACTGTTAAATAAATCTTACATTGCTTCACATTTAGTGAATATTATTATACTTGTTTGTGAAGTTGCATGCTAATAATTCGTTTATTCAAAACAACCAGGAGCCAATACTCATAGCATAAATCTTTAAAAACCACAAACTACCACAAAGCTGAACAAAACCTTCAAATCTTAAAGTATTATTTACAACCTAGCAATGGAAATCGGTGAATGTTCAACAAGAAACGATAGCAGCCAAGCACGCCACAACAGGACAAACTTTAGACGTAGGCTACGAAACAATGAGAAGCGCAAGGACAAACAAAAAGCTATCTCTGCTCAAACAAATGATGTTCAACACGAGGCAAATAGTCTTCCTCCTAGAGGTTTCAAAATTTCTAATTCAAAACTACCTTCAAAATTAGTTATTTTCAACATACCTAACTAATTATTACTTTTTTTTAAATTACACACCAAACATTTGATATCACATAATTAATACAAATTAATTGCTCCAATTATTATCTATCAATATTAACTTCACAACATCACACATACCATTGACATCTTTGCAATTATTGAATTATATATAAAATGCAGATACTTCTACCATATATAAATACAATGACATACCTTACTTGTTACCCAAAATACCTAATTGTTCCTACTGTGATGCAAAACGTATAGAGTTTGAATCATTGGGATTTTGTTGTTGTCAAGGACAAGTTGTTCTTGTATCAAATGAAATGCCTTCCGCCTTAAGGGATTTATATATTGGGAAAAGTTATCAATCCAGACAATTCCAAGCTTCAATTCAAACATATAACAACACGTTCTCCTTCACTTCTATAGGTATTTATAACTACGATAGAAATTTGTGCCGTAGAAACAAAGGGATATATACATTTAAAGTGCAAGGACAAATTTATCATTACATCGATGATTTAATCCCAGATACTTATCCACCCCACAATCTCCAAATGTACTTTTTCGATACAGATTATCAAATTGCACAACGGCTTGCAACATGTGATAGACTTGATAAGGATACAGTCACTACCTTAGTTGATGTCCTATCATCTAATCCATATGCATAATTCTTTAAAAACCTAGGTGATGTTTCTTGTGATAATGAATTCAGCATTAAGCTGAATTCCCACACAAGTCTAGATCAAAGAGTCTATAATACCCCTTCAACTTCTCAAGTTGCGGCAATCTGGATTGATGACTCAGAGGATATTCCGGGAATACGAAACATTAAAGTTTATGCTCATAGTGGACAATCAAAAAACATCCATTATTATGGGTGTTACGATCCTTTACAATATCCATTGTTATTTCCTAAAGGAGACATTGGTTGGCATGAAGGCATTGAAAAAGTTACACTCAATAGTGCACAAGACGCTACCACCATAACAAATCCACACTTAATCACACCAGGAAGCAATTTAATAAACAATCCGGATGAATTAATCCAAGCAGAAGAAAAGAACTTTCAACATGACCGAAAAAGAAAATTTGTTTCTTGTAGAGAATATTACTCCTACAAGCTACAAGTACGCCCAAGCGATAGGAGTTTTTTGTTACATACATGAAGATTACTACAACAATTCATTGTTGATATATATCTGAAAATAGAAACACAAAGACTAGATTACTACAGACTTCGACAACATGATCTGAGATCTGAAACATATAACGGAATTGTCGATAGTATGAATATTGGAATGGTGTACGAAAAAAAATCAAATGTTTGTATAAACCTGTCTTATTCGATTTGGACATCCAGATTTGCAAAAAAATAAATAAATGTTTGTGACATGAAACAGTCTTTGGATGAGGTATTCTCTACTCTCAATTAGGCAAAATAGTTGGTTCATTTGTTTTTATAAAAAGATGGATGAATTGCTCATTGTTCTGTCACTCATATAGGCTAAAGTATTCTGGATTCAAGGGAACTTAACTTTGTTGGAATCTGGATTTATTCCGTTTTACATAGGCTGCAATGGCTGCAATAAAACAATTAAGTCTTTTCTTGAAGGTGTTCAATTTCAGTGTGCATTGTGGGAACAAAAACGGTGTCACCACAAAGAGGTATGCAGTCCAAATTTTTATTCTTTTTCTTAACAAATTGCATGTAACTAATTGAATGACAAACTAAGGGGCCTCAATTTCACAATTGCACTCAAATTAGGGCGTTCAAATTCACAATCAAAGGGTAGAAAAATTTACTATGTGCTGTGTCTTTCTTTCTCCAGTGATATTCCAACAACAAGTAGTTCTCTACACAATGATGTTCAAGATAAAGCGCTTACAAGTTCCCCAGAAGCTAAAAGGAAGCTCTTTATGGAGGAAAAAAAAGAAACACAGTCCAAGGAAGGCCAAGTTGAAGACATTGAATCAGTTCCACCGACCTCTTCCAAAAACAAAGGAAAAAAACACCAAAAATGTTAAGGTCGTGTTAAGATATGTCTAGGTTAGTAATGCATAAATGCTACTGTATTTCATGACAAATAATAAGATACATATTAACTATTTAGAATATCTATTACTAAAAATAACATAGGTCGTATGTATGACCTGCACGTGTAAAACTATATAAATGCATCAAGTATTGGATATTAAATACTTCAAGAGCATGCTATTATTTAAGGCTAATGCTTTGGTATAATTTCTTATGAATTAGAGATAAACACAAATGATGGAGTACATTCCCTGTTCTCAATCACTTTCTATATATGCTCCTTGGTACATATATTTGGTATTTAGCACAAGTTTTCTTATATTCTATTACAAAGGCTACCTTTCCTAAATTCTAAACTTTCCTAATTAGGCACAACACAAAAGATTCAAGCACAGTTTGATTGCACAAAAGTATGAAGAGATTGAGATCATAGAAACATAAGCTTGTGATAAAGCTAATTGATAAAGGTGTATTCACTTATTAATTGTTAGGTGTGATTGGTGTTGTTCAGGTATTGAACAATAGGCTACAAATTTATTTCTTCTCCCATTCTTCATAGTTCAAACAAAGGGTCATAACTGCTCCTCTCTATTGTAGAATGCCTTCATAAAGTTTTTAGATATACACCATGTTTTCCATTGTGTTCAACCTACCTAATTATCTATACTTTATTTCCTTCAAATAATACAACCTTGTAACACAAATCATAAGGAAATAGAAGACTAAACATGAATACAAATAAAAACATTACTACGAAATATATACATTCGAACACTTTATCATCAAAGAAATTAAAAACCTACTCACTCTACATGCAATACATAACTAAATTTAGAATATATTTGTTGTGAGTAATAACATCTAACTTTGCATTTTAAAAAGTTGGCATCTATAAAGAAACATTGCAGATTTAGAGTTGAATAAACTTTCAAATGAAGATAAAGGCATTAGGCCTCTACGGATAAAGAAAATAATTGGGCATTATGTAACATAACCACACAATAATTTGGTAAGATATATGCAAATGTCGGACATTAATCGCACGTAGTGCGTACTCCGCTAGTTTTTTTTAATATAAATTTGTTACTCAATGAGTTTTATTTTATAAGAGAAATAATTCTTTTTAGACTAAAAAATATGTTTTTTTAAATTGAAGAAACTAATTTTTTACTTTTCTATTTTATTCTTTTATCTACATTTTTATCCACTTAGTAAATTTGGGCTACTTTTTCATATCCATTGAATCTATAAATTGTAAGGACATGTGGTACGTAATTACAAATTTGAATAACTTTCTAGAATTGTAATTGGATTCAAGTAATTATGGACATTGATAATGAATTCCTTAATTTGTTCAAATTTTATGTGTATTCACCCTTGTGATCGCAGACATGTGGTACGACAATATATATGGTACATAAAATGCATATCTTCATTATAATTCAAGTAAATTTAATGTTGGTCAAAAATTGTCCATCGCAAAAAGTCAATTTTCTTGTAGTGGACGATTGAATTGTATGTCTGTTTTGATTATATATTATAAAATTGATATAGTAAGTCATTGTAGCTCAATTTTAATAAAAAGTTATTGTACCTCGATCATTTGAGTCTCATGCATTGGTCAAGCATCTCACATTCAAACATCTCCTTTAGTATGAATTGTCTACCATATATAATAAATAACTTAATTTAATGTTATGACATGAAGAATAATTCAATGCAGGAATATGCGAGAATAATTGGAGAAATCAAATTGTCCACCCAATTCTTTTATATTATATAAAGATATAAAGATATAAAGATATAAAAATGTTATGACTTGAAGAATGATTCAATACGGGAATAGGCGGGAATAATTGGAGAAATCCAATTGCCCACCCAATTCCTTTATACTACGTATTATATAAAGATAATTCTATATAGAATACGTACGTATAAAGTTTAGAACATAAAATACTTCTTATAAGTTCATGGAGTCAAAAGAAATTCTTAACGTGACATGTAGAATTTTCTGAAATGTTGACATTCCAAATCCATTTTGATAAAAAAAATCCATTTTGATAGAATTTTTCCAAATCCATTTTTAAATCCAACACAAGGCATCATCATCAAGACACAGAACCAAATTATACTCCGCGGCCCACGCTATATCAAGCCCGAAAAAGAAGGAACTTGGTCTCCCGTCTCGCTCCCCCACGAATATATCACAAAAACGTTTAAAATCAAGGCTTTCTTATTCTTGATTGATCTGTTTGGGTTGATTTATCAGAAGAAAAGGAGGCAGATTACAGTGATCGAGAAATGGATGAAGAATATGATGTGATAGTACTTGGCACTGGTCTCAAGGAATGCATCCTCAGCGGCCTTCTCTCCGTCGATGGCCTGAAGGTTCTGTTATTCCTTTTATGATTTGTTTTTTCTCCTCACACGAAAACTTCACGCGCCTTGTGATGAATTGGATTATGAGATTGTGAAGGTTCTTAGATCGGATCTTCTTTTATTGTATAAATAAATGGTTTTCCAATCCCTAGGTCTTCGGTTGATCGTTATATGCTGATTTGAGCGCTTTTGTGTTGAAGAAAACGTTTAAGCTTTTTCTGTACTGTAACGAAATGGAGGAGGGGATCGTGATCATTTAATGAGAAGTTGAGAAGTCACATTTACACTGACGTTTGGATGTCTGGTGAATCGGTACCGCAGGACTATATTCCAGCTTGATATGGTGCGCTACACGGAGTAGCTACTGTCAAACTGCCTGAGACTCCAATTTCTTTACTCACGAAGCTTTCAGAAATTCAAAATCATTTGAGTGATCTAGTGAAACGCATGTAAAGTTTTTCATCCGTTCGTTTGCTGCTGCAAGCACTTTTAAAAATTGACGAAATATGATGCAGTGTTTTTCATATCTGTGCCATTAAGTGGTTTGTTTCGCACCCTGCAAGTCAAATTGAGCTGGCCTTTTGTATTGGTCGCACGACCGCTCATCCATTTTGGACTTGGATGCAATTAAAATGGTTGTATCATGTCATGGGAGTGTGTCCCGGATCTGAGTAGTTGTGTTATTTAAGATCATTTGCTATCTTAGTTTTAGGTGAGTCAGTTGTCTTAGAACTCTCATTATGCCAATGCCCAAACTTGTATATAAAAAGTAATCCATTCTCCCAACTGATATCATTGAAGTCCAAATTTTATACCTCATTCCATTTCTAATTCCTTGGTTTTCTTGTCAGAGAATTGAAATTAGTGATTTAACCTTCCTACTTAATGGTAATCTGTAGCTCATAGAAACATGCAGCTCCTCACTCTCTAACCTCTTTGGCATTGTCTAATTGGTAATCTGGTATTTGTGTTTTGCAATCTTGAGAAGTGAAAAAAATGCTACTTTCATCGTTTGGCCATCTGACAACATCTGCTATTTGTTTTAGATTTTATTTAATTATGAGTTCATGTTTTAACTGGTTATTTATATTTGTTAATAGGTTCTCCATATGGACAGAAATGACTACTACGGAGGAGAATCGACCTCACTAAACCTTGTTCAGGTATGTGATTAACCGGCTATGTGTCAATGCTTAACACAAAGGCAACACAGTGCTTCATTTTTCATTTTCCAATCTCCAATTTGTTCCCAGTTTTCTTCTTCAAATAGAAAGTTTTTTCACTCCAATTTTCTGCTATCAATTTTAACCTCTGGTTCTCTGTTTTTAAGAACATTCCCATTTTCACTTTCAGATCTCCCACCCAGTTTCCATATTTCATGTTTCTTTTAGAAATTGGGAACATGTGCCCCCCCTCAAGTATTTTTACTTTATATAAACTAACTTCTATACAAAAATTTAAATAATTGCCAAATATTAGTGAACAAGTAAAATCAGGCCTGGTTTTTGAATTTTATATTTTGATTTAAAAAAAATGACCAGTATTTTTTAGATACAATATCCCAACTAGGTAGTCCACTTTAATTCGTATGGAGTGCATATATTGTAGTAGACATAATTATGCAAATAGATATATTTTGGTAAATGAACCTAGGAAAGGAAGCACTTATGTGTAATCAAAGTTTTAAGGTATTTTATGATGGTAACAATGTTGGGTGGGTGGGTGAGGGTACAGTTGGAGATTTGTGGAAAGTAGCTTGTGGTGTGTGATAGTGATATGGATAGAAGTGACAATGTAGCATTGGTGATGTAATGGTGGGCGTGGGTGGCTTATTAGGAGTGATTAAGTTGGTGTGGTGAGCATAGGGGTGGGATGTGGTGATATACACAAAAGAAGTATGTATGTTTTCTACTTCGAAAAACAAAACAAAGCTAGTTTCTGAATTCCACTCTTAGTTTGTAAATGTTGATATCTGGATTTGTTTTTCATTTTGTGTTTCAGCCTTTCAGGAGACGATAATTCTGAACATATTTTCTTTTTCTATATTCAGGAAAATTTTGTTTTGTACATGCATTCTGTGATTTTCATCTTCTCTTTGGGATTCTTTGCCCATCCAAGTGAACATGCCCTAGTTGTCCCTTAATTTCCAACTACAGATTAAAAGGGCTCGTGTAGAGTTCAAAATGTATTGCACATCATCATATGTTAATACTTAATGTTAATTTAACCTTTTCTTTTCTAGCTTTGGAAGAGATGTAAAGGAAGTGACACACCTCCTGCCTCATTGGGTTCTTCTAGGGACTACAATGTTGACATGATTCCCAAGGTTTCATTTCACTCCCTCATTCTTTTAAATAAAGTCACTTGCAACATGAGTCATCTTCTGATAGAACAATGATAGAACACTGGTAAATCCGATTCAGAACACAGTAAAATCACAAGTAATTATTAAGAAACAAGATCAATAGAAGATTTATTGATGTAGGAAGGATTACAGAATGAATACAAGCATAGGACTGTTCGAGAAGCCCTAATCTCCCAGTTCTTAGTCCAACCGAATAACAGCCTCCTTTGCTAGTTCTATAGGCTTCTATTTATAGTAAATGATCCACACAGGGAACAACAGAACTAACAGACTAGTTAGTTTCTAGTTAGTACTAACTGCCTTACTACTACTCCTTTGATAGACTTTGTTATAAAACTGAACCGGTTGCCTTGTTGCATGTCTAACATCTTCATGCCAATACATCACGACTCAGCACTATTTTATCTTTGCAGTTTATTATGGCAAATGGTGTGCTTGTGCGGGTTCTTATTCATACTGATGTTACAAAATATCTGAGCTTCAAAGCAGTTGATGGCAGCTTTGTCTATAGCAAGGGAAAAGTATGATTTATTCTCATTAGTAATAAAACTACCATCATTTTTTGGGGTTTTATTATGTCCTCACCTAGTGCCCAATAAAATTTGGTTCAAAAGGTTCACAAGGTGCCAGCTACTGACATGGAGGCCCTTAAGTCCCCACTCATGGGCTTGTTCGAGAAGCGGCGTGCTAGAAAGTTCTTTATATATGTCCAGAATTATAATGAGAGTGATCCTAAAACACACGAAGGAATGGACCTTACAAGAGTCACATGTAAAGAGCTTATTGGGTAAAACATCAATTCACACTCTCTCTCATCCTCATTATTCTTTTGATGCTTTATATTTCTTTACACTCTTACATTTATATGCTTTCAATTTTCATTTGGGGACGAATTGATGATCAGTCATTCTTTTTCAAACTGTAACAAGGGCATGCATCATTGTGATGTTATTTTTTTCTCTAAAGGTTGCCTCATGATGCTGTGCCTTCTGATTTTGTTAGGCATAATATTTTCATATTTCTTCTGACAGAAAATTTGGCCTTGATGACAACACTATGGACTTCATTGGTCATGCACTGGCTTTACATAGAGATGACCGCTACTTAGACAAACCCGCACTAGATACTGTGAAGAGAATAAAGGTAATGCCAATCCAATTTTAATTAGTTTAACCATTTTTTAATGAAGTATTTTATCTGGTATTTTTTGCTGCTGTGTGATAGTTATATTCGGAGTCCCTTGCACGTTTTCAAGGTGGATCACCTTATATTTATCCTTTGTATGGTTTGGGAGAGCTGCCCCAGGTTTGTCTACTTTGTTTATATTTCCTTGTTAATGCCCAAAACCTTTCTTAATTTGTTTATATGTATACCTAAGTTACTTTGCTTTTCCTAAACTGTGTTCTATTCATTTATTGTTCCTTTTTCCACTAAACTTGTTACTTGTTTTATTTATCATATCAAGAACAAGCTTTTCTTTTGCACACTGATGGATAATAGAGACTTTTTTCTGCAATTTAGGCATTCGCCAGATTAAGTGCTGTGTACGGTGGGACCTATATGTTGAACAAACCTGAGTGCAAGGTGAACCTTTTTGCTTTAAATTGTATACCACGGTTGGTGACCAGGTCTTCATTTGCAATGTGGTAACAAAAGGCTTATCCTCTGGTTCTAGGTAGAGTTTAATGAGGAAGGCAAGGTCATAGGTGTAACATCAGAAGGAGAAACTGCCAAGTGCAAGAAAGTTGTATGTGATGCTTCCTATTTGCCCGGCAAGGTAGGCTTCTTTTCTGCCTATTGAGACTAGTATTCAGGTTGGTATTTATTTAGTACTTGTTTGCCCAATTGGTGTTTTTTCTGAATAACCTCAAATGTGAAGCGTCCTGAAAGGCTGAAATAGAGCCTTTTTCACCTGGCTGGAAAGCTTTCTTCTCTTTTTTAGTGTTCAACCCATTTTATACTCTTTGGGGTGGATAAAATTTCTTTGTGCCAAACAAGCGTCAAAGGCCAATAAAGATTTGCATATTCTATCTTATTTGTTTAATCATTTGGTTTTAACGAGTGATATATTTAAGAATGATAACAGATACACTTGCTTTGGAACAAGCATGGGAGATGCATAAAGATTTGCATATTTTACCATACTGGTTTAATCATTTGTCTCTAGAACTAATAGTATTTGTTGATGAACAAATTTTTTATTTTAACAATTGATATATTAATAAGAAGGATGACATGAAGGCATGCCATACTACAGGTTAGAAAGGTAGGCAAGGTTGCAAGAGCAATTGCAATAATGAGCCATCCAATTCCAAATACCAATGATTCACACTCAGTTCAGATTATTCTGCCCCAGAAGCAGCTGGGCCGCAAATCAGACATGTGAGTTTTACACTTTGCGAACTGGATTATGAACAAGACTCATAAATCAGACACACTCATAATTTAACACTTTTAACAATTTTTGTACACTGTGCTGCTTCATTGCGCATCATAGTGTTGTTTAAATAGGGCTAAATACGTGTATCTTGAACACAGTTTTTCTAAGATGAGTTTGCTCCTACCTTTCTGGCTTCTGGCCTTCAATTTGTTTACAGAATGATCATCAGCAAGTTGGAAATTGTGTCTTGTGCGTAGGTCCGGTAGATTGTAAGTTATAGTTGTGCAATTTCAATATAACCATCCTAGTTGGAGACTTATGGTCACTTCTGATGTGCATATTCGTGTGGAAACTAGATATGTGAGTTATAATGTGCATATTCTTCTAGTTTTTCTGTAAATTTTCAAATGGGTCTTACTATAAGTGTATGGTTGCCTTTCAGATATGCGAAGTAAAGGCAAAATATGACGAGGCGAGTTGTGTTTTTTTAAATGATATGTTTAGTTTAGAAAATAGATATGACAAGTAACATGGTAATATTTTAAAACGTCATATGTTCAGATTTCTTAGGTAGTACTACCTCTGTTCATTTTTAGTTGAAAATTGGTGAATTTTGCACTATTCACATACTCTACTTTGACTACATTTATTTACTAATGTACGGAGTATTATAAATTAAATTTTTGAAAAATATTGTTAAATTCCTCTCATTTTAAATGTGACAGATCTGAATTTTTTATTTTCTTACTAATAAGGAATGAAAGATATTAATGGCCAAACTTGTGCTTTGTCAATCGTGAAAAGTGGATCATTGCAACTAAAAAGGAACGGAGGAAGTAAGTTTGAATATAATAAAAATAATTTATACTCCGTATTACGTTAAAATGAATATTTTAAATAAAATGCTACTCTCCATTTTTTTCGTTATTTCCCACTTTCTTCTCTATCTTCCTTGAAAAGTTCCTTCCTTGATGCTTTACGGATTCCAACTGGGCTTTAAATGTTGTAATAATTGCTAGGCGCTACGCAGGCAGTAGAATGGGGCCTAGCCCCTATACTGGGGTAGGCTGAGCATAAATGCACGCGGCTAGGATGAGATGTTAGAAAGTAAAAAGATGATAAAATCAGGGCGGGTTTGAGGCACGCCTCAAAGTGAAGCGTACAACAGGGCTTAGGTTTTTTCGCAGGTCAAGAGGCTTATGCCTCAAAAGTTTGCGGCCCAGCTTTTCTGTACGCCTCACTTTGAGGCACACCTCAAAACCCACCCCAAAATGCTTCAAGGTGGCGCGGTTTCCTTTGTTTCTATCTTTTAATGGGTTGTAACTTAAGAAAGGCCCAGTGTATTTTATTTAAAAGGAGGTCCATACATTAAACATGTATCTGTAGTCCACACTAAACCCCTAACAATTGTTGTTTCATTTAAAGAATTCCTAAATCGTTAAAGTGTTCACACACTCCATTCTACCACGTAACTTCTCTTCTCCTCATCTTCTCCTCTTCTTCTGCATCTCTTCTCCTTCTTCATCTTGTCTCCTTCACTTCTTCTTCTCCTGCTCTCCTCTCCTTCTTATACTGAGTTGTTTGTCATGTTTTCCTAAAAGTGGTCAAGGCTTTACAAGAGACTGAGGGAGTGTTTGCAAATGCTTAAAAAAAAGCGCTTCTCAGCTTTTGGCTTAAAAAAGCTAAAATTAGTGATTTCAAGCGACAACTTCTACTTACAAAAGCGCTTCTCGGCTTTTGGCTGAAAACTGTTTTTTACTTTTTCTATTACACAAAAGGTACATATTTTACCAAACACTACCAACTTTTACTTTTCAAAATCACTTTTTTCTCAAACACCATCAACTTTTACTACTAATCACTTTTTCCAAAATCACTTCAAAAAGTGCTTTTTTTAAAAGCAAAAGCATTTGCAAACACTCCCTGAAAGATAGACACCTTAGATTAAGATCCCTAACCAATGATAAGGAAAATCTTTTGGTTGATGAGTTGCCATCTCATGATGAGTGGCTTGTGTTCATCTATGTGTTTGTGTTTGAGACTTTTTGGACATTAAAGTTATAATTATGCATTACTTTAGTTGTTTAATACTAGTTTAACTATTTTAAGTTTTATTTCTTGGTTTTTTTACGCTTACTCCTCAATATGCCTCGCCCCTCCGGAACAAATCACCTTGATACCCGAGCTAGCCTTTTTAAACATTGCCCTTGATGTTTCATGGATTCCAATTGGGCTCTAAATGTTGTTAGAGTTGCTAGGCGCTAGGCAGGCAGTATAATGGGGCCTAGTCCCTATACTGGGGTAGGCAGAGCATAAACGCACGCGGCTAAGATGAGATTTTATTTTAGAAAGTAAAAAGATGATAAAATCTAGTAACAAGCATATCTAGCTTATCTAGAAAAATGCCACTACAGTATTGTTTGGTTCAATTATGCATCAGAGCGTTCAATTAGATGTTTCTCAATCACTTGCACAATTAAGAACTAAAACAAGCTAGGGCTGAACCCTTTGTGCTATAGGTATGTGTTCTGCTGTTCCTACACACACAATGTTGCCCCGAAGGACAAATTTATTGCATTTGTCTCTACTGAGGCAGAAACAGATGACCCTGAAACTGAATTGAAGGCAGGAATTGATCTTTTGGGGCCTGTAGATGAGAAATTCTTCGAGACTTACGACAGATATGAACCGGTTAATGAACCATCTATGGACAATTGTTTCATTTCAACAGTGAGTCTATCAGTTTGCTTTCATCATTTTTGTCCATTCTGAAAGTTACTTTTATCTGACTAGGGTTTACCTCCTTTTTCAAACAGAGCTATGATGCCACAACACACTTTGAGTCCACAGTAGATGACGTGCTCAATATGTATACCTTGATAACCGGGAAGGTATCAATAATCTTTTGTGACTAAACAGCTATATTTGCACTAAGAAACTTAGAGCCTGCTTGGTTAGACTAAAATTGGCAGAATATGCAGGAATTACCGAAGTTATAGTTGAAGTGACTAAAACAGTAAAACTTCTGAATTTATGACAATAAAATAAAATATATTTATCGCTAAAGACAAAATTCTGAAAGAAGCTAAAATTGTCAGGTAGTCAATTCGGCCACAAAAGTATCTCCAGCCTTATTTTTCTTTCATTATTAACCAAGTTAGTGCATGAAAAAAAGTCGGTGTTTGGTAAAAAATATGGCTGATGAGCCAAAGATCATGCTTACCAATGTGGTTTTCCCTAAATATGGCATTTTTTATGGTTTTTCTTTCTGATGCTGTGATACAGGCTCTTGACCTTGATGTGGATCTTAATGCTGCCAGTGCTGCGGAAGAATGAGTCTACTTTATACTCCTAATCTCATATACGCTCTTCAATGTTTACCTTCTAGAAACGTTTTTCTACTAGTTTTGATGTAAAAGCTGTTTGTACGACATGTTCCTTTGCCTCTCTCTGTGTATGTCCTGCTATCCAACTACTGCTTACATTGTGCACCAACTCTTTTAACTCATGGGTTTATGTGCTTTATCTTGTTCTATTTTGGTGTACAAACCTGCTGTTTCAATCTGCTAATTCCACCTGTACTTGGTTCAATGTTGTTTATATTTTATTTTCAAGCTAGGCTTCTACATTTTTTGGCAGTAGAATGCTATTTAGGGATGGTCATAGCTCGATTTCCTTTGAACCCGGGACTAGGGGTGGATTTGGGCCGGGCCGCCGGTTCTGGCCCGGGACTGGCCCAGGTAGCCACCGGGTCCGGGTCGGGCCTCGGGTCATTTGTTTTTTCCTTTTCCTAATTAACCCCCTCTCACCCCAACCCCCAAACCACCCCAAATGGCCCAAAATACCCAGCCCAACTTGAAAAGTTAAAAAAAAATTGAAAAAAAAAATTAAAAAGCCCTTAACCGGGCCCAAACCGGCCGGGCTGGTTTGGCTATTGGGTTAGGGGTGGACCAGTTCTGGTTCGGGTCTCGGTTCATGAAAGGGGAGGCCCAGAATCGGCCCGGCTAACCACCGATTCGTTGGGCCGGGCCTCGGTTCTTATATTTTTTTTTGGCTTTTCCTAATTAACCCCCAACCCTCCCCCCTCACCCCCAAACCACCCCAAACCACCTCAAATGGCACATCATACCGGGCCCAGACCGGGCCCGAACCGGCCGGGCCGGTTCACGAATTAGGAGGCCTAGGCCCGGCTCGCCTACCTCCTCGGGCCGGCCGGCCTGAACCGAGCACCAACCGGTTCACTGGGCCGGTCTGAGCCCGCACAGTAACGGACCGGTCCGGTTTCGGGCCGGTAGGCCCAACCCGAGTCCACTCCTATATTGGGTGACCTGAGCCTGCATCGGGAACCCCCCTCGGCCGGGCCTACCTGGCCCGGTCACTAGCCGGGTCGGGTCGGTTCAGCTCAGTGCCGGTTCCGGGTCGGGCCACCCGGCCCGAGTTCACCCTTACCCGGGACATTTCAGTTCAGATCACAATTGGATGTGTAAATAAACACGGGCCAGCCCATTAAGTTCATCCAACCCAAGTTTTGAAATGGGTAGGTTTGGAAAGATTTACCTGGGTAGCGGGATGCAGGGATGGAAGTCATGGAACCAGTTCTAGTTCTACCCCGTTTTTGGGCCATAAAAGAAAACAATAAATAAATGAGAAGTGGGTCCGGATCGGGACCGGATTGTTCTGGTACCCAGAAACAAGCCCAGACTTTGAAAAGGCAGTTCAAACCTGGGCCCAATAAAAAAATGGGACAGTCTCAGCCTGGGCCCAGGGGTCCATCTCTACTGGGATTAGGCATGGGCTGGGATTGGGCGGGACGAGGGTTTTGGGATGAAGGCCCGATACCGGCCCGGGTTCGAACCGGGACTGGGTCAGGGTCGGGTTATTTTTTATTTGTTTTTAGATTAGTCTTTTTAATTTATCCCCCCCCCCCCCTCCTGACCCCCTCAATCCCCAACCCCTCCAAAACACTCAGCCCAACCTTCCTAGAAGCAGCCCAATATCCCCAAAAAATTGGCCTCGGCTGGGCTGGGCCACTAAAATCAGGGCCCGTAGCCTGTCCCCTATCCCCGTTTCGGGCCCTAAGTCCTGGTCTTGGTCCTGGTCGGCCGGTCTGATCCAACACAGTAACGGGCCGGATTGGCCCAGTCCATCCCTAATTAGGATGGCCTTTGGTTTGAGTCGCAAAAATACATGTCTTAGATTAAGGCGCGTGTGTGTGTATATTAGTATATAAACATACACAAACTTTGGTTCAAACTTGGTCACATTGACCATTCTCGCCTTCTCGGTTACAGTTACACCAACCACAATTATAAATCCCTTGACTTAAATTTCAATTGCAATCACACAACTATGACTCTATAGACTGTAGTCTCGCACTCTCGCCTCCGCCGCCACAACAACCCGCCCCACTAACATCACAACCTGTCTTCACCAACATTGTGGTCCTCGATATTTTTGCTTATTGGCTATTGTAATCCTAGTTACTTGGTACCCCAGTTATAGTGACACTTGGATCGTTGGATCGTCGAGCTCTTTGGCACCATTGCCATTGCATCGGGCTTACTTCAGTTATCGTTAGTCCTGCTTCGACCACCATCGCCCCTACTTGACCCCCCCCCCCCCCCCCCCCCGCTCCCTTACCATCAGCCAGCTAGCACTATCGCCATTGAACACTGGAATTGTACTCACCGCCACTCAACACTGGAAATCGTACTCATTGTCACTCCATTAAAAGCAGCTGCAACACCCAAAACATAATCCCCCTAGCTTGCCCTTATCATCCTAGCCGAACCCTGGCTGCCGCCAACTATTGTTGATCGGGTTTGCCCCTAAACCTTCTTCCTCCCTCTTCGCCGTTCGAATTTTTCGCCTTCATGGATCAGATTTGCATCGTCTGCATCACATTTGTAGCCCTTGTCGTACCGGTGGGTGTAGCTCAACTGGTAGGGAGGGAGTGCCACAAGGGTTAGGTCCCGAATTTGAATCCCGACTAGGAGTGGACTCGGGCCGGGCCAACCGGCCCGGAACCGGACCGGCCCGCTACTGTGCGGGCCCGCACCGGCCCGGTTTGTCGGTTAGGTCACGGTTCGGGCCACCCGGCCCGGTCATGTAGCGGTTCGGGCCCGGGCTGATATTTTGGTGAACCGGCCCGGCCGGCCCGGGCCCGGTCCGGGCCTCAACGGTCACAAAAAAAAAAATTAAATATTTGAAGGCTCTACTAGCCGTTGGGAGACCTCCCAAACGGCTCTATAGCCGTTGGGAGCATAGGAGGGGGGGTCTGGGGGGTTAGGGGGTGGGGTGGGGGAGGGGGTGGGGTATACAAAAAAAACCTATTTATACTCCTATTTTCTATACATTTTTTACACCTCTTCTTCTACAACTCTTCCTACTCTCTAAATTCTCTATTCTCTCAATCTCTCATATTCAATCATCTTCATTCTTCATCTTCTCCAAATTCTTTCTACATATATATAATTTATATAATTATTATATCTACTTATATATTATAATATTAATTATCTACTTATAAATATATACTTATACACATTCATATTATAATTCTTTACGCATTATATTATATACTATATATTGTTATACATTATATTATATATTACTTATAATATATTTACACATTATACATTATATATAAATTACTTAATTTATATTTACACTTCTCGTTTATCTATTTAATTACTTAATTGTTTCATTTGTCATATTAATATTAGTTAAAGTAGTTAAAGTTAATTGTTTCATTTGTCATATTAATATTAGTTAAACTACTTAATTGTTACATTTCTCATATTAGTTAATTAGTTAATTGCTACATTTTTACATTTCTCATATTAGTTAATTGCTACATTTTTACATTTCTCATATTAGTTAATTAGTTAATTGCTACATTTTTACCACTAGTGCAAAAAACACATTCTATAACTGGGTTTTAATATGGGTTCAATTAGAACCGTTATAATATGTAGACACGGGGACATATTCATAAATAATGAAAATTTCGAATAACTTTAGTGGATCCATATTATAAATATAAAATGTTATCAATAACGGTTTGAGAAGGAACCGACATAGTTCACAAAAACGGGGTCATTTATATAATTTTCGAAAACTTATGTTTTAAACGGGGTCTCTTTTATAATTTTAAAAAAATCATTTCTATGTCAGCTCGTTGGTAACCCTTATGAAATACTCCGTATCAATTTTGTAAAATAAAAGTAAATAACAAACAACAATAGCGGAGAGTAGGGCAAAGAGACGAAGACGCATCGCCGCTGCTCTCTTGATGAAGACGAATTGAAGCATTGCCGTTGCTGCTCTCAACCAAGACGAAGATGAAGCACCGCTGCTGCTGCTGCTCTCCATTAATAGACGAAGACGAAGCACCGCCACCGCTGCTCTCAATCAATAGATGAAGACAAAGCACCGTCGCCGCTGCTCTCAATTAAGAGACGAAGACGAAGGCGACGCACCCATTTTCGTTTCTGCAGTCTTCGAATTCAGAGACTAGGGTTTACAAAAATCCTATCGCTGAAGCCGTCCAACGTGAGTACCATTGCTGCCCAGGTAATCGTCGGTTCTCCTATTTTGCTAGAGTGTGAGGGAGGGGTTTGGTTTTAGTTCCTTAGCTTATGTTGTTCGTGCAGGGTCTGGCAGAGTGGGGATGGAGAAGCTTTTACCGAATTGCTAGGTGATGAGCCCGACCTGGGCTAGGTGATGAGTCACTTGCTTGGCTTCGCGTGGACGGTGACGGAAAGAGAGCTTGTGTGTGATTCAAAGTTTACAGGAGCGAGGTATCTGGGTATGTTTTCTTGACCCTGAGACATCTTTATTCTATGTTCTGAGTCTGTCTGAGCTTCGAAGTTAGTGTAGCCTTTATCTATGGTGTTTGATACCGAGGTTTCCAAGGCGATTGCTTCTGTTTGCAGAGGATTGAGAGTCTGGGTGGGGAACGAAATTGCAAATTGGAGCTGTCCCTTCCTGTCCCTGAGAAAATCTAAAAAATTCTTAAATACATTTTTTAAACTTTTACATACATACATTTCATTAATTTAATTCCTTTAAGAAGACAATTGTTTAAGATTATTAGCTCCACAAATAAATTAAGCCCATCTGAATGTTATTATTGTAGTGAAGAGTGATTTGCTTTAAAAATAGGCAAAACGATTAAGTAGAAGATAAATTACTTGTACTCCATATCAAAATGAAATAATGGCGTTTTGTGAGGTGTGGAAATATATATTGAAATTTCAGTATATGCACTTTATTGTATTGACATACATCGATTAATGTTACTAATATGAAATATTTCAGAAGTTCTGCATTTTCTAAGTTTATGAAGTTCTGCATTTTCTAAGTTTATTTGTCAGAAATCTGTACTGTAAATGACTTCAAGATTTAATACGCTTAAACTGTTACATATTTGATCTTCATCTTGAAATCATTTGGATTGGAAATGGTAAAAATGGTTTTTTTCATAACATTGTGTATGAAAATCTGCCTCTTTTCTGCATCTCCTGTTCTCGTTTTGGCCACATTTTGACTGGATGTCCTCGGGCAACCTCAATATTGGGGCCTAAACCACAGAATG